AAAACTGCTACTATTTAGCCACAGTATAAGCTTGTTAGGAATTAGGTAAATTCTCCGAAGATCCATCAGTTCTAGGTATAATCCACCTTATGTTCATATAAACAACACCTGCACCATTCCCACCAAGCAGGCACTAGCTCAAAGCTGCATGGGTTGAACAGGACTTCATTGTGATTGCTCCTGGTGGCTACAGGACTGTTGTGGCAGGCACTGGAATTGAGAGTTGAGAGGCTTCCTCCTGTGCTCTCCTGAAATCTAGGCAGCAAGGCGGCAGTGACAGCTGCAGCGGAGTTTAGAAGAGTGAGATGCTTTTGGCAAAAGATGAAGTTATAAATGTGAGAGGAAAAAGTAATAGTATATAGAACCAGATATACAGGGACAAGAAGGATCTACAAACAGTACACCATACTCCTGGGTTTCAGCCCAGGTGTCTGATTCTCTACATTCATCTGGGGTCAGCAAACAGATGCAAAACTGCTGGCATACTACCTCATTTCTCTTCCAGTGACTGGCCTACACACAGGATAACAGCCCAGTACTGCTACTGTTGTTTGACCAGCAGAGACCTGCGCTATGGAAATAAACCCTACTGAAGGTTTAAGATGGGAATCCATAGTTCCATGAGATAATTTTTTTTTCTTTAAGAAAAGTATTAATTCTGTGTGACATTCTTCTAGTATTGTTTTTAAGGTTGCCAAGTCACGAACTTAAAACTAATAAATGCCAGAATTAAAAATGCAACCTTAAATTCAGGCCATATTGGCAAATACGATACAATCTTTGTATGATCACAGTTTCTCTCCCCCACAGGACCTCATTCAGTCAGTGGGTAACTAGTTTTTTTTGTTTGTTTGTTTGTTTTTTAATCATTCACAGTGAGCATGCAACCTTAACCTTATTGACTATAGAAAAGGTGGCTTGGTGATGCTCTTACTCATAACACTGAGGTGGCTTCACCAACCTTTGTATTCAACATTCCCATGTCATTATGTGGTGGTGTTATTCTCATTCTGTTTCAAAGAAATGAAGCATAGTTAGAAGAAGTCTAAATTCTTTGGCTTTCTTTCTAAATCCCACTTATTTTACATGTCCAACAGAAAGCACTTGGGATCATTTTTTCAGCGCACTCAGCATTGTTAAAGGACTTCAACTGGAGTTGCGCTTGGTAACTTCAGCTGTTATCTGTGAGCATTCAGTATACACTTGGCACCTGAAATGAACACACAATTAGCAATCACTCAAAAAAAAATGGCTTAAGTGACTTGTCCAGCATATTAGAAACTGGCAGAGACTAATTCTCTAGGACAATATTCCGGTGTCTTGATCTCGAGATAATCCTCTCTTCTGGAAATCCCCTGCCTCATATAACATGATTTCAACTCCTGCAACAAGTAAGGCATGCCTCCTAGGGTATATTTTACTCCACAGCTTTCATTCATCCTTGGAAGGCCACTAGGTACCTTGTACACTGAAAGAAGTCAAAGTGGAATGTAACCATGTAATTAAACTCTATCAAAATACATGTATCCACAGAGCAGAATTAAAAAAAATAGGCCTATCCACCTGAAGTGCTTCATGTAGACTTAACATCAAAAAGAATGTAAAATATAATACAACAGTTGAAATATTATCATAATTTAAGAATAAACAAGCCCCAATAAACCATAGTTTTATAAAGACAAGTCAACCCAAAATATCTGCTATACTGCAAGCTCTCCATTTGGCAACTTTCACAAGCAAACATTTACACAGCCTTTACTAATTTCATACTGTTTTAGAATATTGGCTTAAAATAGTCCAATGCTAGTAGCTCTACACCTTTTCATCTTGCAAATGTTTAATCAGTTTAACACATTTGTCCCTTTTGTTTATATTTGTGAGTATAAGCATGAAATGTGTTACCTGCCACATAGCAGAGAGAACAGAAAAATAAGTAAGCCATTTTGAACATGTGGCTATTTTAAAATAGATATAATATCCAGAGAATAGTCTACATCCAACTAGAATAGTTATTATGTAGGTTAAATATGAAGCTTGAACTACCTGACAAAATCCAATGAGATTTACAACTTTAAGTTAGTGTTTTCAAAAACATGTCTACCAATCCCTCACCTTACCAATCCCTCCTTTGCTTAGCAAATTCCTAAAACTGAATTAAAAAAAAAAATTACAGTAGGATACATTCCATGATATACTTTTATAGTCTCATTCAAGTTGCTTAAGAAGGACTTGCTAGACAACTAACAGATTTAGGATAACATTTTCAGAAGCACCCAAAACAATTTAACATCTTGAATTATATTTTCAAAAAATTAAGTCAGTGGAACTTAAACTTCTTACATGCATAAGTCATTTTTTCCAGGGTTCAAATTATACTCTGACTCTTGGTCAGGGGCCTGCGGCACTGGCAGCTGGAAGCCAGAAGGAGCCACCACCTGAACCACTTAGAAACGTGTGGGGCACACCATGGGCTCTCATCTCTTATGGGGAGGCTCAGCCCCCCACAAATTCACTGTATTTCAAATCCTGACTTTTCCATATGGGATTCTTGCTCTTTAAGTTTTATCCTTAGTCTTGCATATTCATTTAATGTGGAAAAATACACTTGTAATGCTATTATGTTTAAAAGTCAGCCTTGAATAAGCAGATAGAATTAAAATATCTACTAGTCTGGAAAAGTCTTTGGGAGTTTTCCCCGAGAGATTCAATTAAAAACCTGATTCCCCATGTGATATAATTTATTCCCTACTGTAGCATAAATGTGCATCTCATGCCATTTGACTATCAATAGACAGAATCAATTGGTTTTTCATTTATTGCATTTATTTTCTTCCTAACAAGAAAATTCCTCAAAAATTCCTGGAGTTTGGCATTTGAAAAGAAGTATTTGCTTTCCTCCTCTTCTTCCCTTGGATAGTCAACTCCATAGCAAGTACAAAAACTCCATACTATAAATAGTATTCAAAATTTCAGAGATCACTGCATTAGCTTATTTTTATTTGTTTTTGTAACATTTCAAACTCATGCGAGTTCTACTAACTAAAATTTGGTCAAAGACAGAAAAACCCTTAAATCAATTTGAAAAAACTAAGCAGGTTCATAATTTTCAAAATAACTTCTTGCATTTTTATAGTATTTGATAGCAGCTTTTTATTGGTTACAAAACCTAAGCCCATATACAAAATTAGGAACACATTTAGATGCCTCTTTGAAAGAACGTTTTAGTCTATTTTAACTGATAGTTTAAAAAAATAATAAAAACAATGCAATTTTTAAACACTGTTCTGAAAACTTAAAAGTGCAGCAATATACTTTTGTTTCCTTTATTAACTATGAAATGGTGCAATCCCAATCAAAAGCTGATAAGGTCACAACATAAAGAACTGAGCAAACACTTTGTCCTACTTCACTCAATTCTCCAATGTTCACTTTAATGTGATGCACTGAGTGCAAGAAAAGGATTAAATCTTCACAGTAGTGGAAAACTGTAATTTAATCTCAATTTGTATGTAATCTCTAGGACAACAGTGAGTGCAGGCTGAACAGGGCAACTGTCAGTCTATACAGCATATACTGAAACTTTTGAGTTGAGAGGGAATATTTGTTTCACAATATCATCATCAGCTGGAACTCAACTTTAAATTTTGCAAAAGCTTTGTGACCTTACCTAACTTTGACTTCATGTTGTTTAGTTGTAGCGAACACCACACAGTTTTAAGATTTTAGACTATAGTGTGTGAATAGGATGCAGTTACCATATGAAGCTTCAACTCAACTTTTGGGAAAAGAAAAAAGGCACAATGAACTTCAACTCAATCTTATGTGCACAAGAGTTGAAAAATCCGAGCCACCTTAAAGAGAAATTGATTCTAAAATTTATAAAACCTATAAATAATCAGAGGCCAAACCACTATATTAAAACAGATTATCTAGCAAGTAAAAATCTTGCAGTTTAAACATACGCTTGTATCTGTTTAAGATACAAGACAACTCGCTCTTTAAAGTGGCTCCACCTTGGCAGATATATATTTAATGAATGCACACCTGCTATGTGTTGTTCATCAGTGGAAAAAACAGCTGATCCACAAAGCTCTGATGGCATCTGTCCTTATCTTCATCACAGTAAATACAACCCACATCCAGTAACTAAATTAGTTTAGACTTTTCTATCCCTTCACATCAATGCATTGGGAAATTACACCCAGTAAACAACAGCAACAAAACCAGTTTGTGATAGAGCTTACAGTTTTAAATTATTCGTCTTCACCCCAGCAACACCAAATCCCTTTGAAAACAACTGGGCTGGACGATTTTCCAAAAGCAATGACCTTGTGTATCACCAGCTCATGTAAAGTTATTTAATGTGTGCTGCATATGAGGTTTATGCTGAATAACTGCAGCTTCCAAACAGCCTCACACATCAACTAGTTTGCTTTTTTAAATCATGTGAATATGGTTTTAGACTAGTTTCTGAATTACTCTTCCAATACTCCAAGAATGAAGCTTTTATGATGCTTCTATATAATTGCTGGTTTGTTGCCAACCACATCATCATAAGCACTGGTTACTAAGTAAAAAATAGTTTAAGACTAAATTACAGTAAACATGAAAGCTCCACAGTTTAAACCCAATATAAATCAACCTTATCCAATTATCAATTTAAAATGAAATATATTGACTACTGAAAGTTGAAAGCAAGATTCTTTTTAACTAATGCACGTATTTTGGACAGATTTTTTTTCTACAGTCAGGGACTCTTGCTTTCAGCTTAAACAGAAGTTCAAGTCCATAACAGGTTGTAGCTCAGGTAAAATACCATGCACAGCATTTGATTACTTCAAAACAGCAGGAACACACAGGCTGAAGTGAGTGGTGAAATAGGGCTCGCTGTTCTCAAAAATTAGGTATAATGGCAAAAGCTTTACCAGTCCAAATCTACAGTTCATTCTCCAACCCTGGTTTCTGAGGCAGTTAATGAACACACATCAATTACTGATAGATGAAGTAGTTTGTTTTGTTAACTTAACTGTTTAATCAATTGCCAAGTGTTTTAAGTTACTTTTATTTCAGTTTCACCAATGAAATTCATTTGGCTTGCTTTTTAATCTATTCTTCCACATGAAGTATATGAAAATATGTTTGTGGAGGACAATGATGGAGGCTCAGATTAAACTGTGCCTCTGTATAGTCTTCCAAAATGTATGCATCATACCAAAGTGTCTTGATTCACAGCGCACCATTTTCCAAAGAAGCTACTTTTCCGTGGAAAGCCGATGTGCCACTACTGTGGAATATTTTAAACAAAACTGCAGATTGAGGTTGTCAGCATGTGGCACCGGGGAGAAAAGGCAAAAAAGGTAGTTGGGACTGTTAAAAAGAATTCTAAAACAGTTTAAGAGATCATGCATATGCATTTACAGTCCATGTGATAGTGACTTTTGGCAACTGCAAAGTGACCGATACATGGCTTGCTTTAGAAGCATCAAAACAAAGAGGCATGTGTATCTTGGAGCCTTTTGTTTCTTCACGTGGTAGCCATCTGGTGGTGCTTTGTATTGGTGTGGGACAGAGAAGCTGCACTGCACTGAACTTAAAAATTAAACTCTTTTGTTTGAAGATTGGCTGTTGGGTCAAAATTGTAAGTACCTCCTTGAGTGGCTTCAGGAATGAGACTGGGATCTTCATCAATCTATAAAACAGAATGAAAAGCAATTCATTTGTACCCAATTTACACACACACACACACACACACTTACTTTATGAAGTGAAATAATATTACCAAAAAGTAATATATCAATAATATTTTATCCCGTTCAATCTTTGTGGGGTTTTTTAAGTCATGCTGGATCCCTAATGCCAAGGGGAGAACAAACCATCAAATTAGGCTAGTCTACTGATGTATAGTATGTAAGCCACTATATAACAAAAGGATGACAATTCAGTTTCCTTGGAACCCCTAGAATTGATGCATTTTAAAGTGACCTTTATTTTTAGAGAAAGTTTAAAATTGTTAACTTTAACATTTTCTCACTTGCAGCAGTACACTTATTTGCACAAGACTGCTTTCCAGTAACTATTCTCTGAATATTACTCTGCTAATCAGACTTGTGGCTCTACATATCTTGTATCATGGTTACAGAACAATTTGAGGCAATACAACTCTTTGGGGGTAGGGGACTGCACACAAACACCTCTGACACCCAGTAGTTAAGCACTGAGAATTTCAGAATGTACCCCGTAAGTCCTTCAACTTCTTTTCACTTCAGGAAGTTGTTATCTTCTAGGTAGAGGGGATGTAAAAGTATGATCTGCAGGCTGCACCAGGTTTGGAGAACAAATTACTGACAAGTATCTCTGTGAAATATTTATTAGTCTTCTACAGCAAAGATCTGCTGAGGCAGCAACAACCCCACAGAGAAAGTCTGTAAAGAATTTGAGAACTGTTTTCCTGAACTAAGGATCCAATATGAATTGGATAATAAGATAACATTTAATAATATAATAAGATAACATTAAGATAAGATAACATTTTGTAAAAGTGAGAGCTGCTACCTGTTGTCAGTTTAGACTTCTGTGCAGACACTACAAAGTAACAGTGCCAAAGTTATCACTTAGTACAAATTGTCCATCATTCCTGAGGAGGTCAGCAACAGATTAAGTCCTTGTTCTGAAGTAGGCACTAGAGCTGCCTGTCCTTATTACAGCACTGAGGAGTCCTTGTACATCCCATACACTCCACCAGGTGTGTCCTCCTCTCAGACAAGCTGATCCCAGAAACAGATTCAGTTGGCATGTCCATGTGGCAGGCCAGTAGGGGGCACTCCTGCACTGCCACGCCTGCCACACACTGCCCCACCAAAAACCAGGCTTCGGATGCCTCCCCAGGGGCACCAGCTTCTGGTCAACCCTCTTCCTAGAGCACACCACCCAGACTCAGACCTTTATCTGGGCCCTGTGTCACATGCCCTATAGACCTTGGGATCCTGAAGTGCTTCTGTTAGCCTGAAGCACAGAAAGTAGCCTCTCTTAGTCAACAGAACCAAGGGGGCACAAAGGCATATCCAATCCCTCTCCCAGCAAGTTCACTGTGCTTGCAATAGTGGAGAGCTTTATTGGTTAAAGAGGGTAGGGCTTGGGGGGGGGGTACAGGATACAGAAGCATCAAAGAATAACCTTAGACCAAACAGTAGGGCTAGGTAGCCTTTTGCCATGCTTCTGTATCACAGTAAGCTACATTTCTAGATAAGTTTCTGGTAAGTTACTCACAAAGATCATCCAAAGGCTGACTGAACTTTCCTCTGGAGGTGAGCAGGTCATGGTGTGTGAGTTCCGAAAGGGGCTCTCCCAAGATAGAGGAATCGTTAAATACCCTGTCATGATCTCATCACTAAATACTCACCAGAAGCCGGCTGATGCCTGGTGCTTTCAAATGACATCACCTTCCCAGGTAAGGGGACCAGTCACCTGACCTGCAGTAGTGGGGAAACTGAGACAAAGGGAGCAGGTCCCCTCTCCCTCAGGAATGTCCCCAGCCCAGGTCACAACCCAGTGTTAAATGAACCATGGGGGAGGGGCTGCCTGCTTACAGCAGTGAAGCAGAGTGGAGGGATGATTCCTCCACAGTCTACACATGCATTAATGTGCTTTAGTTAATGCACATTAAATCTAGCACCTCCATTATGAGGTACTAGGAAAATGTGCATTAGCCCGTCTTAATGCACATTAACTAAAGAGCACAGTTTTTGAGTGACTTAAAAGCGCGTTAAAATAGGCTAATGTGCATTAACGCGCATGCGTGAATGCGCCCAGTCTCAACTACAATGATTAACCAGCACATGAGAGAAGACAGATCTGTCAGGAACTGTTTCAGTGAGTTGAGATGAACAGGCTGGTGACCATACCAATGCTGCTGGTAAGACCACCTCAGCTACAGACAATAGTCACATGTTATGACTCAGTTTCACTGTTATGTGCTGAATTAGCCAAGGCTAAGGACAGGCATTTGATTCCATCACTGCAAATCTCTGAAAAGTCTGCAGCCCTAGAAAACATGATGAGAGAGGATGCATACCCCTGGCTGAACAGCAACTAAGTCATCTCAGAGACAAGCTCTCCAGCCAGGGACACAATAGGAAGCTGTTCCTTTGCCTACTTTCTTCAAAACCAAAACAAAAAACCCCTTGACAACCAGTACACCATATTTTTGTGCTGGGGAAAAAAAAGTCTGTGAGGTCATTCACTCAGAGGAATGGGTTGGAATACAGAAAAATCTGAATCTCATCTGAATAAATCCTGACATGCAATAGCATGTGCGCCGATTCTGGAACCTGCCTTTATGTGAAGAGAGATGCTGAGTTACCCAAGATATAACTATATTCTCTACTTCATGCAGCTGCTGTTGGTAAATTTTTCCAACTGCCAATATCCCAATAAATTAGTTCATAGCTTGGAGGAACTTGGAATCTTGTACTCCAAAATTAGCAAAAGACCACCACAGTAATTCTGGTATAACAGCAGGACCTGGCAAAGGTGCAGGAGAGTCAGCAGTGAGGGGGAATCACTTTCCAGTCTCCTCAGAAAGAGAGCAAAAGACTAGGGAGGAAAAAAATTGTTCCTGGTCAGTGCTGAATCACTAGTACAGTCCAGCAGCTGAGATCAGCATAGTTTTCCCCATTTCATACATATTACCTTTAAGAGGACTTTGTTTGCCCTCATCATTAAAGGACTGGAATACTGTTCTGGCTTTGATGGTTCCTATTTATAAGTAATTGGCTGAAGAGCTTTGTCTAATTATATATTCTTTCCTGCCTCCACAAAGAATCACAAGACATTCTTAAACTGAAAATCCAACCACGTTATAACAAATCTGCAAAGACAACTAAATCTTGGATTCATAGACGTATTCAGTGAATGCCAGGACCAACCACTAGAAGAAATTAATCTTCCATGTCTAAAATAATGCGTACAAATTGTCTCTGAATGGTACAGATGACAGGACAGATTTGAAACCATTAAGCACACTTTCAAAATTGCTGCCCCAAAAGGGATAGCTGCTGAAAAACATGAAGCAAAGTATCTTAGTTGTCAGCAGCCACAGAAAGGATTACCAGGATATAAAGTTGTAGGACTTCTGCTCAAATCTCACAAATCCCAGAAAATGGTAAAAGGGATGTAGAAGACATGTACAGAAAGATGTCTTCTTGAGATCCTTTCCAGCCCTGGTTTATCTGCTAGGTGATGGTATATACCTCAAGAGTCAAAAGAGGAAGGCTACCTTCTAAAGAATACCCAAGGGACCCCCCAGCAAGTTAAATTTAGCAGTCATTAATTTTTCCATAATCTCATCTAGGTTTGAATTTGATGTATTGGTACCCACAAAATAGGGCACTAAATTTGGAGCACAGGCTACCTGGTGTCAGTGTAAAGTGACTGTCACAGCTGCTGCTTAAGCCTGCCTGTAGTCAGAAATGTTACAAAAGAATCTTTGTATCTCCTCACTTCTGGTTAGCAGATTCTTTCCTGGAGAGATACAGAAAGCCAATGGCTGGTAACAGGTGATTCCTAATTTAGAGCTACTATCTAAATGATTTAACATTGTAGATGCCTCATCCCAAAGAACTTGAGAAACTCTCTACTGCACATCAATCACTAAGACTGCAGAGAGAACACCTTAAGAAGAGAGGTGCATGAAGATATTTAGAAAAAGTCTTTAATACCCGGCATCAAGCATGACATTTTCTTGAACCAGATTACTTAACAAATAGGTGATTCGAGAGTCAAATCTGCCTTTTGCTTTACAGGAAGAGCTATCTACTCTTTCAAAGGAATCACCAAAGATCAACCATTACATGCTTCTTATTTACTGAAAATTATGAGAATGCCATCCATCCTACTACACTGTATAAAACCCTCTGGGGTCCCTCACAGGAAGACAAGACATCAGAGAACAAAAATGAAAGAACTACTAGGTGAATGACAAGACTATCACTCAAACAACAGCTGTTGGTGTTACAGAAACTGGGCAATCCTCCTCTAAACAGCACCCTGCTGCAGCTCTCCAATACTCTGAAATCTAGAAAGGCTTTCCCATTCTTCCTCCATTCTTTGGCTGGAACATTACTCTTTATTAACAACCTGAATCAGAAGGAGCTGAAACCTGTAAGAATTAGAGGTGTACCAATATTTTGGCCCATATTGGATCGGCACCGATAAAAGAGAAAATTGACAATATAGGCAATCAGTTTTTTTGGCCGCTGTAGCTGATAAATTTAACCAATAAACTCTCCATGCATGAATGTAGACACAGCAAGCAAGGAACCAGAAATGCAGCCCAGCAGCATTAAGAGCAGCATCTGGCTGGCAAGTCTGTGGGAGGAAGGGGTGTGGGGGGCCCCATGATGAGGGAGGAGAGAGGGGTTATGGCAAGGGCAGGCACTGCCCAGCCAGGGCAGGGTGCAGGGCAGAGCCGTGGGTGGCTCATCCAGGGGTCATGAAGGGGGCAGCTCCCAGTGCTGTGCACACCCCCAGGGAAGGCATTGGGGGCATATGCCCCCTGGATTTGTGCGCAGGGCTCAAGGGCTGTGCTGGCCTCTTCCTAGTGGAGGGGATGGGCCGGGGCTGTGCTCACAGCAGGCAGGGTGAGGTGCGTGGCAGGGGTGGTGCTGGAATGGTGTGTATAGGGTGGGCTACAGCCACCCCAATTCCCCATAGCTCCCCCCCCAGTGCCACTGCTGCCTGCCCTACCCCTGCCCACCCTATGCACAGCCCCCCCCCCCCAATGTCTCCCCCAGGGATGCACGCAGTGGCGGGAACTCCCTATGGCTCCATCCTGAGCTGCTCCTGCCCTGGCTGGGCAGCACCTACCCCTGCCCCACTTCCTCCCTCATTGTTGGGGCCTTGATCTGTCCCCCCACACCTCTTCCCCATCACAGACTTACCAGCTGGATGCTGCAATCCACACTGCCAAGCTGCATACTGGCCGTCAGATTGGTATCGGCCGACATGGCTGTTTAACAATCGGCCATCAGCCAAAAAAATCTTTTTTGGTGCACCCATAATAAAATGTGGATAAGTATTTTGCTCTGAAATAAGTGACCCTCTCAGGCAAGAACAGATTGCCAGGCTGCCACCACAAGAGAGACTGATCTTACAAGAACATAACAGGGACAATCAAGAGGATCAATCTATCTTGACTAATCAATCCCAGCACAGACCTTAGAAAGTCCCAGCATATGCATCCACTATGAGGAAGTCCTAGTCTCCTGTGACAACCTAGGATGTGATGAGATGGCAAGAACTGGGGCTACACTAGAACCACGTTTTGCATTTGATTGGTTTATTTCCCAGTGATTTTCTCAGTTCTTACACATTAAGCAGTCTGAACTGTAACCCCAAGGACTTCCTATAATCTGAGATGTAAGACTGCTCAACTACTTTACATCAGAGGACCCTGAGCTGGAGGCATAGAATCAGACAAGTTCCTAGCATCTTCAACTCGGAGCTTACAAGCTTTACAAGCAAGGCAATCAAAACCCAATGCCTGAACCTGCTCCTCCTTTCTGAAGTGGCCTAGAGTAGATCAACAGAACAAGCAAACATTCTGAGCAAACACTCCAAGTGAACAGGATCGCTGAAGATTTACACTTCCATAAAAGAAGACAAGACAAGCAGCCAGATTTTGCAACAACTGCCCTTATAATATCAAAATCCCATTATGGGACACGTGTTCAGAAGAGTGTTAAAATACCATAAACATTACTAAAAACTAAGACGTATTAAATAAAACTATATAATGAAGGTAGATTGGTTCAGTAACTAAAATCATCAACAGAAAGATTGGAACTGAGGGACTAATGGCATAGACCGGGGTAGGCAAAATACGGCCCATGCGCCATCCAGCCCATGGCACATCCTGCCGCCCCTTGGGCACACAGCAGGGCTGGGGTGGCTCTTCAAGCTGCATTGCCTTTCCAGGCAGCCTAGGTGGCAGCGGCTCCTTCCAATTGCTGCCACCGCTGGCCCCAACCCTATGATACTGGTGGGGACCCTTGTGCACAGGCCCAACCTCGGCCTGCTCCACATCTGACTGGTAGAACTTGGCCAGCCAGAACCCATGTGGCAGACCAGCTCTGGATTCATCCGCTCACACTGAGCAGCAGCAGCAGCCAGGCAGAAGCTGCTGCTCATGTGGGGGAAAAATCAACCACACCCCCTCTCCACTGCTGGACCCTTTTTGCTGCGGCCGCCCAGAGCCCGTGCCCAGGATGCCCTGCAGCTCTTCTGCACTGCCACCACTGGGTGGGACAGAAGTGGCAGGGCAGCCCGGGCACAGGAAGCTGCAGCAAGGAGGGCCCAGCAGTGGAGGGGGGGAGGGTGTTTTTTCCCCCAGATCCATCAGCAGCTTATGCTCAGATGAGTCCAGAGCAGGCACAGAGCAGGCTGAGTCAGGGCTTTGCATGCAGGTTCTGGCTAGTCTGGAGATGATCCATTCTGCTCGGCCAAGTCTGGGGTGCGCACAGGGCACGTCAGAGTCGGTGCTGTGGGTCCCCACCAGTACCACAAGGCTGGGGCCAAAGGCAGCAGCAGCCAGAAGGAGCTGCTGCCACCTAGGCTGCTTAGAAACACAGGGTGGGCCAGGATCGGGGTTGGGCACTGCTGGCAGTGGTGCATGGGCTCCAGACTGTTGCAGGGTGGTGGTAGTGGGGGGAGAGGTGTGCTGAACTCCCCGGAACTGCTTGTGGCCCCAAAATAATTGCCCACCCCAGTACAGACCATGGCATTTAAGTATATAGACATTTTACACAATTTTACTTTCCTGAATACTTCCACAAATTGCCAAACAGGACGTGAGATTCCCACAATGGTAATCTAAAACTAAACTAGAAATCTCTACTGCACTGAAATGATCATGATAAAATACAGGCAACACCCACTTAACACTGTTTCACTTAGTGCTATTTCGCTATAACACATTTGAAATTGACACCTGATTTCACTTAGCGAGTTTCATTATAATGCTCACGGCCACCATCTTGGATCATTAAAAACAACTGCAGTCACCATCTTGGGTCGTCACATACTTTTGGTTTCACTCAAAGCTTGTTTCACTTTAATGCTCAGTTTTTCAGGAACCAATTAAGAGCGCTAAGCAGGGGTTGCCTGTAAATCTATTTTCCATTAACTGTACTGCACTGCAGTTGGTAAAACTGCTTGTACCCAAATTATTTAAAAGTGGAAGTGAGACAGCATGGGCTAGAACAGAAAGATCCATTAGGCAAAGAAGGCCTACTTCTCTTGCTCAATATCTGTTCAAGAGTTTTCCTGGTAGACGGAAAGGACAAAAAAGTGGGGCATGGACAGGTCAAAGGAAAAAATTCCAGGACACATAGCAATAGAAAATTAAGAGACTTCACAAAAAATAATTAAGAAAAGCTATGTAGAAAATACTTGAGAACATATTATTTTGACAACCTATGTCAGTTGTAAGTGAGGCTGACTGAAGTAACATTTACATGGCAGTTATTAAAAGTAATACACAGAATATAAAACCATTCACATGAAACTATTTATACATCTATAATCCCATACCAACCATTCTTTAGGGTACTTACATCATCACCAGAGAAATACTGATCTATGATTTCAAATGCTAGTTTGTAAATGTCCTCATTCTCATGTTGTTGCAAGGCTTCAATTTTCTCTAATCCTGGCCGCATAAAAATAGAAAAAAAGAGGTTAAACTGTGTTTAACTGAAGTTAGTTATTTATTAGCTACATTAAGTTAGCAGCTTATATGTATGTAGGCAATAGTTTCTTAATGCCTACTTATTTTGCAGTGCACTGGAAACCAGAACAGGCCAAGATGCAGCCTTGTTTATAAATATGAACCAGACTGTTCTACAAAGTACCCACCTTTATCTTGAGGACAAAGCTAGGACTGGTGGAATTTACAGGTCTCATCTCAGCATGCCCAGGGTTTTCACAGAAGATCCTCTTACGAAAAGTAAGGGCTATTGTGCTTCACTCTATATGTAAGTTAGTTAAAGCCCAGTGAAGCAAAAGCTGTGCACTATGTACCCTCTGTCTCAAACAGGCTTTGTACATATCTAGATATACTAAAAAAAGCAGTTTCATTTATGTGTAGAGCAGAGTGAGATAGCAAACAAGATGGCAAATGTAAATACTTATAGATGTTTAACATGCTGGCTCCTATTTAAAGCAGTGTGTGTGTATATTTGGAAAGATGTGTCCTTTAACTTCTAGCAACATAACTTGCCATATTATCCAAATTGCATGTGTGCCTTTGAACTGGGTCTTGCTAGATCTAAGCCCAACTTCCCATCCTATTTTGTACTGTAGGAAACCATAACACTGACACTTATTTCACTGCAAATGACATGCTGAAACCAGGAGTTTACTGCAGGAACATCTGCATGTAATAGTTGGATAAGAGAGAATAAAACCCTTATTAAAACTAAGAATCTGAAAGATACAAACCAATACAGAAAGCTACTACTGAAAAGTATTGTCCTGTAAAACATCCTCCAAAGTGAAAGTTCACTAAAGAAGTCATGATAAAAAGATAAAAGCCACAATAACTAAAGTACTTTATTTATGGTCTCTCCTTCTGAACCTCTCATTCAAATACTGTGTAACTACCAACTGCTGGTGTTATGCTGTACATTTTAATGACCTTGAGTATTATATTGGTTCTTAAACAGGAAGACGCAGGAAACCTTACCTCCACATTCTTCTATTATTTCAGCTATTGTGCTAGCTTCATCACCAGCCATTATGAGTATGTTTTTCAGACCATCTAGGACCACCTGTACCACTTGGGAATCTTTTACTGACAGTAAGTTACAGAATGGTGGGATTACATTCTGCTGCACAAGGTATTCAACCTAAACAGTGAGAAAATGCCTTCAGAATTATACACGCTTCATCTTTACAAATGGCTATACATATGATACTTCAATGGCAACCTGAAATCCAGCCATACGCACCTGATCTTTTCTTCCACTTATTGTCAAATTGCTAATTGCCCAAGCAGCTTCTTTTTGCGTTCCAAAGTCCCCCTGACAGGTAAAATTAACAGCTCGTTAAAATTAGCAAGAAAACATCTGTAAAGCTTATTAAACTTATAGAGTCCTGTCTCAGATTTATAAAAGGATGATGACAAGCTTGCATAAGTTTGACTGACCTTAGCCAACTGGTGTATGATCATAGGGATTAGTCCAGCATCTATTACAGCTTGCACTTGTTGCTGGTTTCCTGCTGTGATATTGGAAAGGAACCAAACTGCTTCCTGCAATCACATGAGAGAGAAACCACCTTCCTTTAAGATAACCTAAGTCTTTGCAGATATCTGAAAAGCACTATGTAGAAGCTGCTATGACACAAAATAAAGCCTTTAAAGTCCTGCAATTCTTCACAAGTCTAATTCTATCAAATATTCCTTGCTTTAGAAAAATGTATTCCCTAGAGGGGAGAAGCATTTCTCAGTGAAGTTTGGGGGAAAAAAGGCTCCTGTGATTGTAATTACAACTCTGGGGAAAAGACAGGGGGAGGGGAAGAGAGATGCCTTCAAATAATATCACTCAAGTACCAAAAAAGCCTTACTAATAAGGGCCATCTGCTTGTCTTACCCCATATGTTAAGCCTCCAGCTTCTCCCCAGTCAGCTTTCTATGATGCAGTTAAGTGCTTTCAACAAAATTCTGCAGCACAGTAAAAGCCAGATATAAGGATCAATGTAAAATTAGATTCATTTTAAAGACTGGGCTGAGAAGGGACAGGAGGATCTATGTGGTCAACCAAAGACTGCAGCGCTGGTGTCGTCAAGAAGGCTTTGGCTTTCATGACCACAGCCCACTCTTTGGCGAGAGAGGCAGTGAGCTGCTGGGAAGGGATGGCCTCCACCTCTCCCCCCTAGGGAGGAGGCTCTTCTCAGCCAGACTGGCTGACCTGCTCCACCGGGATTTAAACTAAGCCCATTGGGGGATGGGGGGACTACCGCAACTGCTGGCCCACTGAGCAATCCTTGCAAAGCCAGCAGATCACGGCGCTTCAGGGAGCCCACCCCTGCCCCAGCCCTGGTAAAATCTGTGCGCAAGGAAGGAGCCCCCCAGGGGGCACTTGCCTGCCTGTACACTAATGCCAGGAGCTTGGGGAATAAGCAGGAGGAGCTCATCCTCATGCTCAGTGCAAACAATTACGATGTCATAGGGATAACGGAGACCTGGTGGGACTCCACCCATGACTGGACCACGGGGATAGATGGCTATACCCGGTACAGGAGGGATCGTGTAGAGAAAAGGGGCGGGGGGGGTAGCTCTCTATGTTAAGGAAAGCTACACGTCCCTG